TTGTTGTATATATAGTTTGAATATTTAAGTAATTGAACAACCCATGATTCCAAATAATCTAATAAAATGAATGAACAGACCCAATATTCCAATAATGAATAAACAAATAATTTGAATAAAACAAATAATTTGAATAAAGTGAATTAAATTTTTAATTCGAATATACTTTTAAATTCGAATAAACTTTTTGATATTAATTCAAATTAAATTTTTAATTCGAATAAACTTTTTTAATTCGAATAAATTTTTATTCAAATAATTATTCAAATTAAAGGTCAACTGTATTACGAATAATTCGAATAAGAATTTGTATTACGAATAGAAGCCCCAACTCTAGATCATAGTACTTCTGAAATTGGTTCATTTCTAAAAAGTAATAAAATTTTTGACTTTTTCACCACATGTCTTCCTGTTGTTAAAGTAAGTTGAAAAAAGATTACTTCTGGTGACCTACAATATCCAACACCTGTACGGCAGAGTTAGTTTGCTTTACTGTCTAGTTAATTCCTGCGGTTGTTGTTTAGAGCAAGTTGTAGGCTATCCTATTTGATGCATTGTTCATCTGTGCGCTTTCTCATTGTAGTTCACACCTGCGTTCTTTCCTCTAGCATATTGGATGTATTGCTTCCTAACCTGCAGAACGAAGCATAGCAATTATGTTATGTACCTCTCTGTGGTGGATGCTTGGTAGGGATTTTGGGAGCTACCCTCTTTGACACATTATTTGTCCACTGAGGCAAACCTTCTCATTGTAGCTTACACCTTCCGCTCTCTAACCAGAAAGCATCGCATCAAGCCAATATTTTTGTTTTATTCTTGCATGACTTTGACTTTTGTGTTTTTCTTTTGTGGAGCTAATAATAATTTCATTATTTGACTTTTTATAAGGATGGATTTTGAAAATCAAATTGTAAATTACTTTCAGTTGAATGATTATACTAAATGGAGTGTATTTGAAGTCCTGCACTACATATCAAATGAGTGATATTGATGACTCCTTAAAAAGACAATTAGAAATTTTATCTGATCACAAAAGTCTTCTCCTGGCAGCAAGAAACAAGACCATCAAGCTTCTTGAAAATCTGCAGGAAACCCTGACAAAATGAAGAGAGATTTTGAATTTCATTGAAAGTAAAGATCTAAAATTTGCTAAGGTTTGTAACACTGATCTATTGTGTGTATTTTATGATTAAGGATTAATTTTTAATATATTATCATAGAATTGATATAAAGTAAACGTTGAATTAAGTATCATTACAGATAAAACAGTTATGGCAGGAAAAATTTGCAAGAGTAGGTATTTGCTAATTATTTATTAAATTCTTGGAACATAAACCAATCGGATAATTTCATTGAGATCTCTTGATATACTCTAGTCTTCGAATAACAATCATGATATCAGTGGTTCTGAAAATCAAGATTCTAGAACAGAAACACAGAATACAATTAATAATGAACAGGAAGATGAATATGTAGCTGCTGATGAAAGTAGGGTTAGTAAAATTTGTTTCTGGTAATATTTTCTGTTGGTATTTTGGGAAAAATAATGATTTTTTATTTTCTATAGACAATGTGTGTCAAGGATATCCTTGAAGGCTCAATTCAAGTTTCATCTGTTGTAAATGAAGGCACAGAGATCTTTTTAAATAAATTCCCTGCAACCTTTATAATAGATTTACATCCAAATTCAAAATTTTTGATACTCTTGGATTCAGACCTTCAAAAAAAGCCTTGCATGAAATTTTCAATGAAATTGATAGCTATATTACAGATGATATCCACAAATTTCTCACAGTGTTTTTCAACAAAGATCTTACTGCATGAGGTTGGGATAATGTCATAAATAATATGGATTTTAATGCACATGAATCGGAACTTCTAAAAAATAAATTCAAGAAATGTTACCAAAATTGTAAGCATCAGGAAATTAATTTAGTGTAAACTTGCATAAATCTTACGATGCCGACGTAATATTGTGTAAATCTTACAGTGCCAACGTAAGTTTTACACTTTTTTATTATTAAACTTACAATTGACACGTGTAAAATTTTTTTATATTTTCCGGATGAGGATTAGATAGAATTTATGCAATTGATTTTATTAATATTTGTACAATTTTAATGATTTTTCATTATTTTAGTTTAAAAGCATTTTTGCTGGAGTTTTTAAATCAGGGTTGGTAAATTTACTGGTCCATTGAGAGCTGATAGACTTTGGACTGGTCCATTGCCATCAATAAAATACTAAATATGGTTACTAATGGACCCAATTGATCACCAATAGACCACCAATGGACCTCAAATTTGCCAACCCCGGTTTAAATCCATTGAGGGATATTACACTCCTCAAAAAACCACATCTTAATCAATTCATACACCCTATAATTGATTTGACACTATGGATTTTTTCCAAAGTTAATTACATATAGTAAGTAACTTGAACCTATATTTTCTACATAGATTATATATAGTACAAATAAAATATTCATATTATATAGTGGAGAAATACCTCTGGGCTCAAAACATGGACTGATGGAGTAGGATTTCTAAACAATGTCATGAACTACCTGATAGTTTGTAATGAGGGAGCTAGACTGGGTGCACCACAAAAAAAATGCATTGATGATGACATCAAAATGCAGGCAGCATGGCTGCATTATCGTCATAGAAGAAGCTGATGCATGCTGACAACTCTTTACCAACTTACAAGTATATGGTTTAACAGCATTTAAGACCAAATTATCACTTACCATGATGGATTTTAGAAGTATACAATGCATTACGATCAGACCTCCATAAATGCACCCTCCTTGGGACCAAGGGACAGCATGCATTTATGGAGGTCTGACTGTACATAAATTTATATTAAAATATTTATATAATCTGAAAGTTAATAAATTCAATTTTAGGTGTTCATTGGTTATCTGAGGTTGATCATTTCGACCTATCAAAAGATTGTATTGACATGCCAAACTTTGTTTGGTTATATGAAGGCAGTAGTCAAATAGGTTGCAAAACATATAATAATAATAAAATTCAGATGATCTGCATCATAATCAAAATTTATAATTGAATGCCTCCACAGCAATATACAGTATTCAAATGAAAAAACTATTGAGGAGGCTTGTGTGGCTCCATTGTTACATAAGGAACAGCTTTAAATCATCATCTACTTTTCTTTTTAGCATATAAAAGTCTAATGAAATTGAAAATGATGGTTAGTGCATGCACATTTGATTTGACAGAAAAATTCAGCCATTAATTTTTGGCATCATAAGGACACAAGCAATTATCATACAATATTCTGCATGTTAAATGTTGTATGAAATGTTTTGTTATTTGGTTGACTTTTGCTAAATAAATTTTCATATAACATTCAATGAGCTTATTTTATAGCTGCTGAACCTTGGCTGAAATTATTTTTTTTTAATTTTATCTGCTTCATTAGTAACAATAGACAAAGGCTGGTTGGTTTTCAAAATCCATTTAAGCAGTGCCTCTTCTTTTTTTTCTGAATATATGGAAGATGGTTATGAGTTGTTTGTGAATAATCAGTTATTTTTCTTTGTGATTAAATGTTAAAAAAGATAATATATTTGATTAAAAGATTAAAAATATTAATTTAATCAAATTAATCAAAATATTAATTTAATTAAAAATATTAAATATGAGATGACATATATTCTTACCTTTTTTCTTTCATCAACTATTTCTACTTCATTGATATCATGCACTTCATCTGAATGTCTTTTCAAGAATACCCAAAACTTTTATATGATTTTTGCAACACCTCCCATTTTTATCCAAAATGTTACAAATGCGCAATTCTTTACCAGTTGTAGGATCAAAAGCCCTTTCAAAGTAAACATTAGTAAAACTATAAATTTTTTCTTTCTTTTTACTTATTCTAGATATATTTGAAGATGAAGCTGTATTATCTGTAGCAAAGAATGAATATTATTAACATAACATGTATGAATTATTGTTAAAAGGTCATTCATTAATTATACTTACTCTCAACATAAATCACTTCAGTATTATTATATACTATTAATAATATTAGCATCATCATCATCATTATTAACAGACATTTTGAAATCGTCTTTTTATTAAAATATTTTTTTTGGATTACATATTAATATTTAATAGAAACCGGATTCAACCCTCTCTTTTTTTTAAGAACCGGTTATCCGTTTTCAAACCGGATTCAAACTCTACTATGATCCTTGATTATATATATATGGGTCCATACTACAAAAAGATACATATGTAAACTTGATAAGTCGGTCATGTCGGGGTGGACCCGTGACCGAGTTATTGAATTTCACGTGATTTTTTAAATTTAAAATTTTTTTTTCATGCAAGATGAAAGAAAAAAGTTTAATCTCTTGAAGAAGTCTTTCAAGAAAGAAGTTATGTGGGCACAAGATGTCCTTTGTTGAACTATATATTACGTTTTCTATTCTAGAAATACTAGATCATCTAGTGACGAAGATTACCTTTATTGTAGAATTACTGAATTCATTCTAGAAAATTAGAGTTTCATGGTGAATGAACACAATTATATCAAATAGATTATATATTGAGTTACACATCGATAAACAACAGCAAATAAGGGATGTAGTGAACTGAAATATAGAAAAGTAAGAACTAAACCACGAGGTAGTCGATATAAAAATGACATCATAATAATATTTTTTGTATGAGTAATAAATAAATATGTTAATTTTCTATTATGTAATTAATTGAACAATGCCGCCAAATTTTTATTTTTTTCTTCTGAAACACAACGTGCTTTAATAATAACTGGTTGATCGATAAATAGCCTTTACTCAAAACTTTACCATATTAATCAATATAAATATAATAAATACACAAACCAACCTATTGCTTTAGAGGGTATCAACCACAGATACAAGATTATTATAATTTTTCCTTGATTGTTATGAAACCAAAGTCCATAATTTATCAAGTTGATAGTTGGACAGACAATAGAATTTACCAAGTCATGTGAAAAGATCTCATACCAACTTTACCAATAATAACTGGGATGATATTTATCCATGTTGGTGGTACTCTATCTCCCGATGTTTACCTTACTGTTACCTTTTTAATTATTTTTCTTTGATAAAGAAAAAAAAAAAGGCCTATTGTTAATTGCCACGCTTCTTTCTATTCTTATAGATAATATAATTTAGTTAATGGATTTATTTGGGTAATAAATTAAAAAGAAAGCTTATATTTTTAAAAATTTTAACCAATCACATTGTGATAGATGTATGCATCTATGCATGCAATGTACAAGTTGTATATATATATAATATAATAAAATATTAACGTTATTAGCATATAGATATGAATACTAACTAACTTGTCAAGCTTCAAGCTCAAAAGATTCCATTTCATATTTTATGATAAGAAAAAAATATCAATTGTTATCTATTTATTGATTTATCCATAGATTATTACATCCATACACTCATTATTTGTTCGTTCATTGATAGGCGATAAAAGGAACACCAAAACATAAGGTTAGAAAGGTATATAAACTGTTAATAGTGATGATAAAAAACCACGGTCTTCACTTAAGAAACTTAACATTCAACGAATTCAGCAATTAAAGAAGATGGATCTTCATTTTAGATTAAAGAATCATTGTCATATTTAATATTTAATATTCATCATCATCATCATCGTCGTCGTCGTCATCATCATCATCATCATCATTATTCATCATCTTATTATTCATCATTATTATTCATTCAATATTTATCATCATTACAATATATCATCAACATTTATCATTATTATAATTTCTTTCTCTTAAAAATTAAAAATAAAC